CTTTTCAGACCAAGATTAATCTAACAATCTGGGTTTAATTTGTAGACCCTCAGAGCAGGAATTCCAGACGAGTCTTAGTTTTTTCCTCCTCCAGATCCAGCACGATATTTAGAGCAGGGGGGTCTCCAACCTTGGCAACTTTAAGACTTGTGGACTTCAGCTCCCAGAAATCCCCAGCCAGCTATGAAATCTGGGAAACGAAATCGTTGCTGACTGAGGAATTCTGGGAGTTGACGCCCACAAGCCTTAGAGTTACCAAGGTTAGAGACCTGAGGAATTCTGGGAGTTGAAGTCCGCAAGCCTTAGAGTTACCAAGGTTGGAGACCTGCTGAGGAATTCTGGGAGTTGAAGTCCACAAGCCTTAGAGTTACCAAGGTTAGAGACCTGAGGAATTCTGGGAGTTGAAGTCCGCAAGCCTTAGAGTTACCAAGGTTGGAGACCTGCTGAGGAATTCTGGGAGTTGAAGTCCACAAGTCTGAAAGTTTCCAAGGTTGGAGACCCCCCTGCTCTAAATATCGTGCTGGATCTGGAGGAGGAAAAAACTAAGACTCGTCTGGAATTCCTGCTCTGAGGGTCTACAAATTAAACCCAGATTGTTAGATTAATCTTGGTCTGAAAAGGACAGGCTGCTTGTCGCGCCGCCTTCCTCTCTCCAAGCCCAGCCGAGAATTCTGCCTGAATAAAAGAAGAGCTGCATTCTCTGCAGCGCAGCGTCTCCAACACGCTTCCTCCACCGGATCCCGGTTCCAGATGGAAGCGAGACAAAAATAAGTGGCGAACGGCGCTTCCGTGTTTCATCCCCCCCTCGTGCCATCTGGTGTTGGTTGCGTGTTGCGTGTTTTCCTAATGAAATTTGATTTTGGAGCCCAACACAATTCTCGGCTCAGCCAGCCAGCCAGCTCCTCTATTAGAGATCAGGAGGGATTTGAGCCCCTTCATGGAGTCCCTTCATAAAAGGGACGCGGTGGCTCAGTAGCGAAGACGCTGAGCTGGTTGATCACAAAGGTCGGCAGTTCGGCGGTTCGAATCCCGAGCGCCGCGTAACGGCGTGAGCTCCCGTGAGTTGTCCCAGATTCTGCCAACCTAGCAGTTCGAAAGCACGTTACAAAATGCAAGTAGAAAAATAGGAGCCACCTTTGGCGGGAAGGGAACAGCGTTCCGTGCGCCTTTGGCGTTTAAGTCATGCCGGCCACATGACCACGGAGGCGTCTTCGGACAGCGCTGGCTCTTCGGCTAGAAAATTAGCCTTTTTTGGGAAGGGAACAGTCCATACCCCCCCACCTATGATTGACTTGCCGATCAAGTTGTCACGACTTTTAAGTAGATTAAGGAGGGGTTGAATAGATCATAGGAACCCTGCCAAGGGTTCAACTATTTGATATTGTTTTTCTTACGTAAATGTTTCTCTTTGTAATTAATGGCCTGTCTCTCTTTTTTCTTTTTGCATTTCAGTGTTTGAGCTTGTGAAAAAAGGGTAAGATGGTTATTGCTTTCATTGTTTTAAACTAATAGTGTACATGTTGCATCACAGAATAAGGGGAGAAATTAGAATAGGCCCAAAAGCAAAGAGAATAGAATAGAATATGGAAAGAAGGAGGTAGAATAGAATAGAAATAGAATAGGAGAAGAACAGAATGGAATAGAAATAGGATAGCATAGCATAGAATAGGAGAAGAATAGAATAGGAATAGAATAGAAAAGAACAAAACAGAAGAATAGAATAGAAATTGGATAGCATAAAATAGAATAGAATAGAATAACAGAGTCGGAAGGGACCTTGGAGGTCTTCTAGTCCAACCCCCTGCTTGGGCAGGAAACCCTACACCACTTCAGACAAATGGAAATCAAACATCTTCTTAAAGACTTCCAGTGTTGGGGCATTCACAACTTCTGGAAGCAGGGAGTTCCACTGCTTAATTGTTCTCACTGTCAGGAAATTCCTCCTTGGTTCTAAGTTGCTTCTCTCCTTGATTAGTTTCCCCACATTGCTTCTTGTCCTGCCCTCAGGTGCCTTGGAGAATAGTTGCGCTCTCTCTCTCTTATTGTCTGCTTCTCTTCCATCCCAATTGGTCCCTGGTTCTAACTTTTTATTTTTCCTTTTCCAGGCCAGTGATGGAAGTTCCCAATCTGAAACCTCTGACTGAAGACCAGGCAAGATTCTATTTCCAAGACCTGATCAAAGGCATTGAATATTGTGAGTGTGTAGAATAAGGACGCAAAGCTCAGCACCAGGCAACACCTGGGAGTGGGAGCGTGGGAGCCTTTTTTCTACCCCAAGGCTGGGCCTTGTAAGAAAAGATTCGGTTGCCGTATTTGTCAGAATATAAGATGCACCTTTTTGTCTCCCGAAAGGGGCAGAAAATGTCTGCATCTTATAGACCGGATATTGGTGAAGCCCCACTCAACTGCCGGCCATTTTTTGACCTCTGACCGCCCTGTTTTTGGCTTTTTTCAGGACTTTTTTCAGCCCGTTTTTGAGGCTTTTTCAGCCCATTTTCAAGGTTTTTCTTGGCCCATTTTCGAGGCTTTTTGGCTCATTTTTAAGGCTTTTCTTGGCCAATTTTAAGGCTTTTTTGGCCCATTTTCAAGGCTTTTATTGACCCATTTTCAAGGCTTTTATCGACCCATTTTTGAGGCTTTTTTCAGCCTGGTTGTGAGAAGGTTTTTTTCAGCCCGTTTTTGAGGCTTTTTTCAGCCTGTTTTGGGGATTTTTTCAGCCCATTTTCAAGGTTTTCCTTGGCCCATTTTCAAGGCTTTTATCGACCCATTTTTGAGGCTTTTTTCAGCCCGTTTTTGAGGGGTTTTTAGCTCCTTTTTGAGGCTTTTTTCAGCCCATTTTGAGGGGGTTTTAGCCCCTTTTTGAGGCTTTTTTCAGCCCGTTTTTGAGGGAGTTTTTAGCCCATTTTTGAGGCTTTTTTCAGCCCATTTTCAAGGTTTTTCTTGGCCCATTTTCAAGGCTTTTATTGGCCCATTTTTGNATTAACCATTAGGATTAGGAAAATATTAGAATGTACAGAACAGGAAAAGATTGACACTGGCTCTCAAAGAGAAAAAACAAACCGATTATTATAACAATTTGGGAATCTTTTTACCAGTGGTTAGAGAGTAGACCTAAGAATGAATAGTAAAGGGAGTTATCTTAAAGTGTAGAAAATGTATTATTAGTTAATATAACTAATAGAGTTAAATAAATCACAATGGGATGGTTATAATATTAGATACTTAAGGTATTGGAAATCAAGCCAAGACGAGATTAAATAATAAGGTTGTATATTTTAATGTTGGCACAAAATATTTGTACCCAGATGACACACTAGTTAATGGAAACCCTTTTTTTTTCTTAGTTTGGTGGGATTAATGTGCATTTTTTTACGGAGCAAGGCAGCTCCTTCACCACCACTGATCAATGCACCCCAGTAATGTGGTGTTAAGCCCTTTGTAGGTGACCCAATTGGGGCTCAGGTTCTCGTAGAATTTTTTTGCTGCTCACACCGTGCGATTCGAAGGGGAACACAGCCAGTTTCTCCTCTGTGCCCCCCCGCCCCCTACTAATCTATGCCAGCCACAATATCTTTCTGGGATATTCTTATCCTTCTTTTTTCAGTGTCCTTTTATGGATGAGCGAATCCTCAGCCTGCACAGCAAAATCAAGAGCCAGTTGCTGGAATTTCCGGACCAGTAAGTAGGAAATCCTTCCGTCTCCTGCAAAATCAATAGCAATAGCAATAGCAGTTAGAGTTATATACCGCTTCATAGGGCTTTCAGCCCTCTCTAAGCGGTTTACAGAGTCAGCCTATCGCCCCCAACAATCCGGGTCCTCATTTCACCCACCTCGGAAGGACGGAAGGCTGAGTCAACCTTTGAGCCGGTGAGATTAGAACCGCCGAACTGCAGATAGCAGTCAGCTGAAGTGGCCTGCAGTACTGCACCCCTAACCACTGCGCCACCTCGGCTCATCAAGGGTGACAAAGGGCGATTCCCAATTTCCAAAAGGGAAATTTGAATTCTGGGAAGCCCACACCCCCCCTCCCTTCCCTTCCATGCTCAATGGGTGTGTGTGTGTGTGTGCCTGGATCTCACATTGAGTAGATGGCAGGGGTGAAATCCAGCAAGTTCTGACAGGTTCTGGAGAACCGGTAGCAGATTTTTCTTTTAATTTTTTAAACAAACAAACGAACATAAAACACATATAACCTTCCATTTCATATAGCGTGTTGTTTAGTTAAAGATTTTGTGCGTCCTTCACACGGTCACCACTTACAATTATATATCGAATCACAAAATTCTTCATTACAGAAACATAAGTACATTATTATTAAATGCCAATTTTCCAACTGTAATTATTATTCCTTAATTTTAAACAAGATATTCTGAATTTTGAATCCATACATACAACATCCTTTTGCCTCAATAGTTCAACTCCAATTATTATCCCTCGGTAGCGGAGTTTTTGAGTAGTTCGGAGAAACCGGCAAATGCCACCTCTGGCTGGCCCCAGAGTGGGGAGGGAATGGGGATTTTGCACTAACCTATAGCAATAGCAGTTAGACTTATATACCGCTTCATAGGGCTTTCAGCCCTCTCTAAGCGGTTTACAGAGTCAGCATATCGCCCCCACAGTNAGGCTTTTTTCAGCCCATTTTCAATGTTTTTCTTGGCCCATTTTCAAGGCTTTTATCGGCCCATTTTTGAGGCTTTTTTCAGCCCGTTTTTGAGGGAGTTTTTAGCCCACTTTTGAGGCTTTTATCAGCCCATTTTTGAGGCTTTTTTCAGTCCGTTTTTGAGGGTTTTTTAGCCCCTTGTTGAGGCTTTTTCCAGCCTGTTTTGAGGCTTTTTATAGTTTCTTTTTGAAAAAGTGAATGCCTCACATTTATTTAATGTTTCTCCACAGTACACTACCAAAAAATTATCCATCGGGATATTAAGCCTTCCAATCTTTTGGTGGGAGAGGACGGTCACATCAAAATTGCCGATTTTGGCGTGAGTAACGAATTCAAAGGATCGGACGCCCTGTTAACCAACACGGTGGGCACGCCAGCATTTATGGCCCCAGAGACCCTCTCTGAAACCAGGAAAATATTTTCAGGAAAGGTAAGTGGAGGGATGAAAAAAACAGCACAGTGTCTTCCCGAGTTATTGTGTTTTTCTAGCCTCGGGCAGGAATTGAAAAGTTTTTCAGAACTGACTCCTAATGCAAGCTGACACCGCCTGCGAACCCGGCTTAAAACAAACCAGCTTCATCTGGGATTTTTGGCCGAGGGTGTTATGGAAATCCTGACAATCGTGGCTTGGTTAAAGTTTGGTTAAAACACACCTTAAAATAGCACAATAGGTGAACGTAGTCGGTGGTTTATTGTTAGTTGTGCAAACCAACAATTGTTAGTTGGTGGCTGGGGATTTGTGTCCAGGCCCTAATTGCGAAGCTGTGTGATCTTAGGATCTGCCCATTAGGTCAATAGGCAGATCACTAGATCTCATGGCAGATCTATTTCCCCTGTAGAACTGGTTTGATGTGTCAATATAATAATCATTTACACCAGCCCTTGGAAAGCGAGGCAAAATGCCATCTAGAATCTAGATTTTTCTTCTAGTTCATAATAGCGTCAGTGATAATAATGCAAGGAGAAAGTATTTTTGAAAAGCTAATGTTCTCTCTTTCTCCTTTCCCCCTTTCTCCCTCTCTGTCTCTACCACTCCTTCCTCCCTCTCTTCTTCCTTTCTTTCCTCCCTCTCTCCTCCCTCCCTCCTTCCTTCCTATCTCTCCCTCCCTTCTTCCTCCCCCCCTCCCACCTCCTCCTGCCTCCCCCTTACTTCCTTCCTCCATCTCTTCTTCCTCCCTTCCTCCTACCTCTCTCCCTCCCTCCTTCCTTTCTCCTTCCTTCTTCGCTCTCTCCCTTCCTCCTTCCTTCCCTTCCTTCCTTCCTTCTGCCGCCTCCTCCCTCCCTCTTGCCTTCCTCCCTTCTTCCTCCTTCTCTCCCTCCCTCCTTCCTTCCTTTCCTCCCTTCCTCCTCCCTCCCTCCCGCCTTCTTCCTCCCTCTCTCCCTCCCTCCTTCCTCTCTCATTGCTCCTTCCTCCCTCCCTCCCTACATCCCTTCCTTCCTCCCTTCCTCCTGCCCCCTCCTCCCTCCCTCTTGCCTTCCTCCCTTCCTCCTCCTTCTCTCCCTCCCTCTTTCCTTTCTCTTTCCTTCTTCGCTCTCTCCCTCCCTCCTTCCCTTCCTTCCTCCCTTCCTCTTGCCCCGTCCTCCCTCCCTCCTCCCTTCCTCCTTCCTCTCTCCCTCCCCCTTCCTTCCTTCCTTTCCTCCCTTCCTCCTCCCTCTCTCCCTCCCCTTTCCTTCCTCCCTCCTCCCTCCCTCCTCCCTCTCTCCCTCCCTCCTTCCTCTCTCCTTGCTTCTTTCCTCCCTCCTTCCTTCCTTCCTTCCTTCCTTTCCAAGGCTTTAGATGTCTGGGCAATGGGAATCACCCTGTACTGTTTCATCTTTGGACAGGTAATAAAACCTCGTTTTCTATCTGTTTGCCAGTTCCCCCCCCCCCTCGCCCCAATTGGTCAGATGCCAGGCCAAAGAAAGCATTCAGTTTACAGAATCCAAGCCTCTTAATAATGGATATTAAATCAGGCAGAAACAAGCGGCTCTCTCAATTTGTGGTTTTCTCGTTTTCCCACTCCGTTGAGTTGTCCAATTCCTTTTTAAAAAGTGCTAAAACCTGAAAACATTTCCACGTACAATTCTGCAAACAGACAAGAACGCAGAATGGGTAATTTTAAATCCAGTTTTGTTAGCTGCACGAAAATACATTATATATATATATGTGTGTGTGTGTGCGTGTGTGTGTGT